TAGGAGCGTTAGAATCATTGTTTTCGTGAACCTCTGGTTAGTGTCTGTATCACGACGCGCAATGGAGAAAACTATCGAACAACGTTACGCGATTAAATTCTGTGCTAAACTGAATAAAAACCTCGCCGATATCAACCAAATGATTAAAGCAGCATACGGGGACTCTGGTCTCTCCTATTCTCAAGTTTCCAAGTGGTTGAATTTGTTTCAAAATGGTCGGGAACAGGTGAAGAATGACCTCCGCTCTGGACGGCCGTCAAGCAGTAAAAGTGACGAAAATGTTTCCCCTATTCGTGTACTTTTGAACAGCAATCGTCGAATGAGTGTTCGAATGATCGCACAGACTCTCAGTATTTCGAAAACCACTGTGTACGACATCGTTAGAGTCAATTTGCAAATGCGGAAAGTGTGTGCCAAGTTGGTTCCCAAATTGTTGACTGACGACCACAAGATCAACCGAGTGACGATCGCGAGGGAACTTTTGGAAAGCGTGCAGAAAGGTTCCAGATTTTTTGGACAGTGTTATTACTGGCGACGAAACATGGGCATTCGAGTACGACCCGGAGACGAAGCGCCAAAGTTCCGAATGGCACACATCGACGTCCCCTCGTCCCAAGAAGGCAAGAATGAGAAAGTCGAAAGTGAAAACCATGCTCATATTTTTTTTTTATGCCAAGGGTGTGGTTCACAAAGAATTCCTACCTCAAGGGCAGACAATTAACTCTACCTACTACGTGAAAGTACTCGACAAATTGAGAAAAAGGGTGGTCCGCACCCGAAAGGAGATCACCGCTTCTGGCCAAGCACAGCTTGGCAACGTTACCCAAGCTCCCCTACAGTCCTGACATGGCTCCGGCAGACTTCTTCTTGTTCCTGAGGATCAAGACTGCCCTCAAAGGAATCTATTTTCGAACCGTAGAAACGATTCGAACCGCTGTGACGAAAGCTCTAACCGAGGTCCCCGTCGACGCCTTCCAGAATGCGTTCCGTGCATGGAAAAGTCGCTGGCGAAAGTGTGTCGATGCCCAAGGGGAGTACTTTCAAGAATTTTAAACGTTTGTAACAATAACTTAAATAAATTTTTTTGACGAACTTGATTGCATTACTTTCCGGACAGACCCTGTATAGTGGCGTGATCACTGTCATATGGGAGGGTTGGTGCTTTGCCGTTTGTACCATTGATAAATTCTAATCTCGCATCAACGAGGCAGACATCGAGAAATGATTGGGCTGGTTTGAAGGGAGGGAATAACGATGAAATTACTCTTAATTTATATTTAAGCCCATAAGCGTCCTCCCATTGTCTCATGTATCTGCCTCTCTGATTGTTCAGTCTGTCACCCCAGGCTATTCTTCTAGCATTGAGATCTCCCGCAACTATATAATAATTATTTTCATTGTGGAGATTGAGTTTGTCAAATAAAGGGGTAAGTTCTGCAATGAACCTATTTCTGTTGTCAAATTTCGCATATACGCTTACAATGTAGACGAGTTTTGCTATTTGCTAATGGAATTTTGATGACCGTGTATTCGAGAATTTCGTTTACCAGAGAGGAAGAGTGTTTAATTTCCTCAAAAGGGATAGACCTTCTAACTAATACTGCAGTGCCTCCTCCTTGGATTGAATTTGGTCGGTCTGTTCTGACGACGTGGAAGTCCTTAAGGTGATTTTGTGTTTTGCAGTTAGTTTGGTTTCCGAGAGTAGGATAACGTCGTGGCTGTTGGATGATATGAATTGTAATAGTTTTAATCTTCTGTGGTTTGTGACAATAGCATTGACGTTTATGGCAGCAATGTTGATATGATTATTGGAATAGAATGTTTCAGCCATTTTCAATTGGAGAACAGAGAGTTGAGTATTAATTCTATTTTTTCAGAATTAGCTCTAATTTGGGAAGCGATATCTTAAATCTGCTTGGTAACGAATGTTCATAGTACGTTCTTCAGGTCTAGTACAGTAGACATTCGTTTATTGCAGCCTTCGGGGCTGTAGAGGGTAAAAATTACAGGAATACTGCAATAAGGAAGCTCCAATCACCGGCGCGCTCTCCCCTCCATTCGGCCGTTCAGTTGTGCGACGCACCTTCATATAGGATGGGCTGGATATACGCATTTTACGGTCATCTTCATTATGTTCGTTATTTTTGGAGACATCAGGAAAGTTTATTCACAGAAGTTGTTTAGTTTGGAAAGGGCATTAATTTGCAGTAACAATTTTTTCGTAGGTCGGAGATATCCTGAGTTTTTAAGATTAATTATGTTTTGTTTTTAATGATTCTGAAATATTGTGGAATAAAAATATTTTTTATAAGGTAATATGTGAAAAAAATTAATAATTCGTGAGATGTTTTATATACAGAATGTAAAATATATCACAAACTGTTAATTTTTTCTCGACCTATAACAAAATTATTTCTGCTATGTTATAGTCCCCCTGATACCAGATAAGCTTTCTGAATAAAATTTGTTTATACCTGTAGAAATAATGAAGATAATTAATTTGATCAAAGTTACTGGACCATTGTTTATAATGCATGTATAATTGAACACTAGTTTCATTTATTCTTCTTTATTGAAAACAATGTACTCAATAATATGAATATTTGAATTTGTTTAATTGTGACATACAAAATGATTAACAAGTACATTTGCTTATTAGTTATCTTATTTATGTATAAAAGTGTAGAAAAACACAAGTTAGTGATTGCAACAAAATACAGTAAGGAACAAAACTGAACCAATTTTGGAATTGATAATAGTGTGAATTTTCGATTTTACTGTATATATAGAAGGCGGTTTAGGAGTCTTATTAAGGCTGGTCCTAACCTCCTTTGGAGCCGAAGTATTCATTTCTAGGTCCGTAATCGTATCAGTTGCTAAGGGTAAAAAGCGATTGGAAGTATTACCAGATTTCCAATTGCTGCATCGTCTGATGTATTGGCTGTTTTGTCGACTTCCTTCGGGGTTTCTCAGAGATCAGTCGGTGAAGATGTAGCATTGTCCTCTTGGGTAGTGCCTGACGCTATCGCCAGAGGCGCTTGGGTTGCCGTTTTACAAGCTACTTTTAGGTTGTGGGTAACCTTACTTTCAGTGCTATTTTAGTTATCTTTTAAAAATTGCTTATAGATCCTATCGATCTGAAAGGAGTTCAGCTTAGGAGTTTTAAGACCCCTCAATCTTGTAGAAGCGTTGAGCTGTTTGTTTTCTTTGTCCGAGCCTTCCGAAGAAATGCACCGCTTAGAACCATGCGCCTTGGAGAAATCCATTGTGCATGCCGTAAGCGGTACTTCCTTATAAAAAGAAGGCCTGATGCGGGAAATAATATAACACTACACCATTTATGGAAATCACAGAAACCACTTTATCACTGGATATCCCTTGCGATAAGAAAACGAGGCAAAAATTAAACAAGTTTTGGGACTACGAACCATTCGTTATGGCGTCCAGACCGCGTCTCCGTCGATTACTCTACCGACTCACCTACCGCTGCTCTGTTATGACATGCTTTACGTAAATGAATGACTAGATGCGTACACAAACTGTAAACTAGAATATTTCGAAAATGAAGGCCCATTCTACGGAAACCAATGAGGGTTTTGTAACACTATATGTGTACTAGAACTTGTATATAGTGTCATTCCAAAAGCGATTAGCCAACCCGTAAGTTCTCCTTGTTAGTAACACACTTAGAGTTTAATAGAAACTTAACAATGTGATGTCTGTGTATGTGTGTACTGATTGTGTTTTAACTGATCGATGTGTTCTTGTTCATGGTTGAATGTGTTCTGATCAATGAGTGAATGTGTAAACACTTGCTGGAACGGATCGACACGTGATTGGTGAAAATGCAGAATTTTTGTTGGTGTAGATGGTTCATGAGGTGGTAGTATGAGTTGAAAGAAGTGGGATTTGGTGTATGTATTGTTTCTTGGATTCCTGGAAGTCGGCACCGAAATATAAGTAGACTGCGGATTTTATGCATTATAGCCTATAGGACTCTGTAAAATACAATAAAAAACAGAACTTTCATTGGATCCAACGAGTTTTTTATTTTATTCTGAACCTAATAAGATGCTTAAGAGGGAAAATAAATTTCTACAATTGCTCCTGTCGTTATCAATTACTTTAGAAACTTTATATTGCATCAAAATCCGCAGTCTAATAATAAGGAACAGTTTTGAGGACCGCTAGGGTTTTGCACCTGATGTGGAGCTGTCCAGGAATCTCCTTTTATGACGATTTGATGACCGTGTCGGCAACCCAAGACGCGATGAGCATTGTGACCATTGCCTACCTATGTTGGGTCGCAACAACTATCAAACTATTTATCTTCCCTTGTTTCTGCATTACACTCTTCTTCTTTAGAAGAATGGAAAGACATGAAAACAATGTATCCGTTATTATATAGGATGCTTCAGCTAACTTGATCACCTCGAATAATGACTTAACGGTACACTTTATAAAAATTTTGAGGCGTGGAACTTAGATGCCATCAAGGGACACATCTTATAAGGTACGTGCTTTTTTGTGGGTGGAGGCATTTCAGAGATTTCAAAGCGACCTTGATTTTTTTTAACGGAATTACCTATTTTTTGTACTATAGATCGATAGAATATCAGTACTTACTATCTGGAAGCTATGGGTGCTCGAACTGATGCCCCTGAAATTCAATACAGTGATTATACTGGAAATATCTCGTTAACTATTAGGTTTAGGACGTATGAAGGTCAACACATTTTTACTCAGAATTTGATGCTCTATATACGGTACAAAAGACAAGCCATTCTGTTAGAGAAAATCAAGGTAATCTTGAAAACTCCGAATTCCCTCCACCCACAAAAAAAGCATGTACCTCATAAGGTATGATAAGTTCCACGCCTAAAAATTTGCTATAATTTATAATCGCCTATTCCTATCCCGCTGATCACTCAGATGAGAATCCCGTTGTTTCCCCCGTCTTCGAATCCACTCTATCGCAATGACGTTGTTTTTGCTTGCAGAAACGGTGACAATGCTCGCGAGACAATCGGAGAACAAAACCCTGACCCTCTTTGATCAAGTATACCGCTCGATGGCGGTTTTAAGCAAGCCATCGATAAGAGGGCTCTACCAGGCGATGGTTGATTATGTGTCGCCAAACAATACACCAGACACCTTGCAGCAGCCGCTTACACGCGAGATGCGGTTCATCGAGTTCTTCACGAAGCTGTTCCCCATCGCGTATCACAACGCCGTGAACCCGCACCAATATGATCAGGACTTTACGGAGAAATTTAAGACCTGCCTGTACGAGACAATGGACGAAATCCAACCATTCGGAGACATACCGAAGCAAGTCTCGAAGTCCGTTAGCAAGAGCCTAGAGGCGACACGAGTACTAGTGCAGGCATTGACACTCGGTAAAACGGTCCTCGATATGACCGACAGCGTGTTGTTTTCCGGCACCATAGCAGGAAGCTTGCTATGGTGCACTGCTCAGGATGACTTACTGTCCCAGGTGTAAGGGCATCGGCCCAGCTGTCAGGCCTTGCAGCGGATTCTGTACTAACGTAATGAGGTGAGCATCATATTATTATCACGACTTAGCATTTTTTAAATGAATTATAGTAAATTGTCAATTATCGGAAACGCATATCCATTCGAAATACTGATTGTCAGAACACCGAACAAGTCACGTATGTTTCTGTTAGTACAGTGGACTCTACCTATATTGCCACTGGACATATTACCACGCGAGGCACTTTCCCTTCACACGTACTTTCGAGCACACAAATTCGTTCTCCAACCTAGGGTTGAATCGCTCCCACCAAGGTATCGATACTTTTACTCATTGTATGAAGGTATCGAAACGAAAGTATCGATACTAGTATCGAATCATATATTCCTAACCTTGATACCCAACACAAAAGATGTTTATGCGTTGAGAGAAAATAAAATACAATACTATACTTTATATATGTATTTAAATATTTAATATAAAGCATATAAACAAACATATGTATAAACTATATACAATATACGTAATATATGATATACATAATAAATAAAGATGTATGTAGGTATTATTTATTATTATATTATTTGTACAAGCATACTTAGTTTCAGAGATATTCTGAAAATATTCAACTTATTCAATAAATATTCAACAAATATTCAACCAAAAATATCGAGGCAAACTGAACCAATCCATTTTTCTAAGTATATTGCAAAAATAAACCCAGTAAAATATAGAATATATAACAAGACAATGATATATTAAAAAAATGGGAGAGCCCCTTATTTTTGTAAAAACAAAGGAATAAATAAAGATTCATCAGTAACATAAATAATTAATTTATTAATGATAAAATTAAATGAAATATCAAGTAGAAACTGAAACGGAAAACGCAGTCTTTGACTTCACAAGTGAATTAAATTTGCTAAATTTAAGTAGTAAAATATTTCATTGGGGAGATAGCATGCATATTGAACAAAGTTATATCAAATATACCGTCAACGCAACCGTACACATCGATACAAAAAGTACTCGGTATCGAAACAAAAGTATCGGGTAATGTACTCGTATTTCCTTGTATCGATTCATCCCTACTCCCACCATGTTCCGTACGCCGGCGCACCAGTACGATCCAACTTTTGCGCAGGCGCTGAGGCCGAGGCTATGACGATAGAACTTAGCATGGAAGGGGCTCTGAACTCAGTGCCATTTTATTCCCCTATAGCCCCGACCATGGCAATATAGTTAAGAGTCAACTGTAATTTAATGTACTGAATCTGAAAATTACAGTTGCGGCCCAATTTAAACATAAGACACAAAATTATATAGGGTGTCCCAAAAATGTTGTAACTCCTCGAAAGACGTGATTTCTGGGGTGATTTGAAACAACTTTTTCCTTAGAGAAAATGTTCCGAGGTTTTGTTAATATGCACCGAAAATATTTTTTTTTATGAACAGTTTGAGGCGTAATGCCAGAAATGTATGTGAGATTACAAGTTAAGTTAGAAAAAATACTTAACCCTTGACCAGGAAATTCACTTGTTGCGTGAAAACATATGTCAATAGGTCACTGTGTCGATCCTGGCTGTTGATGGCCCAAGTGATTTATGGTAGAGCAGCACTTAGTGCATACTTGAATGCAGATGTAGGGTTCTACTGAAAGACGTGCTGACAAGTGCGGTCGGTCAATACTGTCAGTCTCTCCATCAAGTCTGTCCATTTGTCAAGATCACTTTATTTACTTTAAATAAATTTGTTATTTAGCGTGTTACTCCTACGTTAATGTGTTGTCTTAAAGGAACGTGTTGTTCCTACGTTAAACAAAATTGGTGGCTCCGATAGGGGCTTATTGTTTTCAATGAATGAGTGTGACAGTGGCATCTTCAAGTACAGTGGACACTCACTATATTGCCACTAAACATTGCCACGCGAGGGACTTCTCCTTCACACGTACGCCAGCGCACCAGCACGATCCAGCTTTTGCGCAGGCACTGAAGCCGAGGCTATGACAATGGAACTTAGTGTTTAGGGGGCTCTGAACTAATTGCCATTTTACTCCCCTACAGCCCCGACCATGGCAATATAGTTAGAGGCCAATGTATGGATATAGTGCCTCCCCGAGCTATAGTGACTTCGTAAAAACAGAAGGGGTTCGGATCTTTCACGCCTTTAAGGGTTTCGGTGACAAGTTCAGAGACGGTCAACGTTTTTGAAGAAGTAGCAATTGACACATTTAGCGGCTTGTACCCTTAAGGGAATCACATAGCACACCCATTGAGAGGGTCACTGAAATCACTATAGCTCGAAAAGGCACTATACCACCACCTTTGAGGAGGTGTCTTCGCTTCTTGCATCCCGCGACCGACACTATTCCCTACCACGGGGTATAAAACTGTCCTTGATATAGGGTAGATGTCCCAATTGCTGCCAGTGTCCCTAATACTGTAACTTTATTTATTTTACTTCATAAAAACAAAACGATGTATGAATTTGATTATTAAATTGGGACTCTGATTTACATAAAAACAACAAGTACATGTATGTACTTGTACGTATCTGGCATTTAAAAATTAAAAATAATAAAAAAAAATTTTTTAAATTTAAAGAAATTTTAAATAAAAAAAAAGTGCAATTTGAGCGTCAAAAACGCGTCTACGTAAATAGGAAGTGATGACGAAAGTATAATAAAGGAAGAGCCGTAATTTTATTATTCAACCTATATATCTTGCACAAAATGATCAGGTCAGGTAAGACAGATCAGACACACGTAGTACAAGAGTCAGCAAGATTTGACCAATCGTACTATACGTGCGAGTAGGCCATTCACTTTAAAATAGCTTGTTATTATTATATACTCGTGGTTTGTAACAAGTTTAAATAAATATTATATTTAATCGAATTCAATGGTAGTTAATAGTATTTGTGAAAAAAATTAATTGAGCGTAAAGCGGAGTTCCGAAACGGCAATCAGAATCACGGGACACGTTCTAACGTCTCTACGAATGTAGAAACTGAAAAATTTAAATATAGCCGGGAGGTTAAGCTGACCAGACGACTCGAGGTATTTCTGTAAATACCAGTACCTACGGATGGGAGGGAACGAACTATCAAAGACGATAAAAGAAAGTGAAAGTAACTAGTATTACGGTGGAATATAGAGCGGCTCGTTAAGGATAAAAGAAACAAATAATGCCAGAAGAATTACACTTCATTGTTTAGTTAGTCAACCGAGGGCCTAACGAAATGCAAAGCTGAAGTAATTATATTTACAAATATTATTACTATACAAAATTACACTGCTAATATATATTATTAACAGTTTTGGGCATAATTCGAATAAACTTTTTTAACGTGTGGATAATTATTCTAAATATTTAGAATAGGGGCAACATCACCGATTTCAATGATCTTGAAATATGTTGTCAAGGTCAACATTCTGAGTATTTATTTCCTATCCATATGACCGCCGCTCGGTCATTAGTTACAAAGATACACAAAAAAATATTTTCAGTATTACATACCGTATTTTGTAAACCGTATTTGGGTTAGCTGTGAGTTAAGTTGCTTAATTTTGCCGCCATAAAGCGGCCGACAACCAATTAAGGTCTATGTATATTATACTCAACGTCAACAAGAGCCAATATTCCCCCTTAGGGAACTCGGAAACAGCATTACATTGGTTACGTTGCAGAATTTTTATTTCGTCTCTGATATAACTTTTACAACCGAATAACTACATTTTTTAACATAATCACTGAAATGTTTCCAGTTACACAGTATTAATAATAAAATGAGCTAATAGATTTGGTAATTATAAATTGTAATTATTATCTTCTTTATTACCAAGTCCAAATACAATACAAACCGAACCCCAATTTAACTTAAACCTAAGTTAAATCCTACAAACATACGTAGTGCTAAAAATAGGACGGTCATATGTATAGGAAAAAAATACCCAGGATATTGACCTTGATAACATATTTCAAGATTCTTAAGGGTTATGTTAAGAAAACAAAACTCACGTGTTTGGCAGTAGAGCACAAAGAAGAGAAAACTTTGATTTTGCACTGCAATAAGAGGCTACATACCGATTCAATCGGATAAACAGAAAATATGTAATCAACCAACTGCAATCAAACAAACACTAATACTTCGCTGGATACACGTGTTAATTATCGGCTTCACTCACTCTAGTACACTATCATTGCTATCCTTTTCTAGACGAATAATACACCTTACACAACGAAGGATCGTCACTAATGATCAGTGAGCAAAACAGAAAACTAGTCGCGTATCAAGTACGCTCTATAGACATACCCTCACCAGCAAACTCGGCTTCCGCTATGGAAAAAAGTGGCGTAAGAGAAGGGACTCCTACCACTTGGTAAATTTATTTCAAGTACTAAAATAAATGTTAAATTGAATGTTAATTTGACATATATTTCAATAATTCTCGATACCAAATAGCAGGAGGTCCTTCCCTACGTCACTTTTCATTTCGGTGCATCGTTGGCTTAGAGAAACTGGATCACTGTGTTTTGTTTCACTACGAGCTATATAAAGAATTAACATGCAATTGAATCCATTACGACTACGGTTAGTACCAGGGACGCTCGTTAGGCATCGCATGTGGCTTATTCTCAAAGATGGCAGCCCCTTTATGATCACAGAGCCTACGAGTCTACACCGTATCTAGTACAGTAAATCCTCGATTAGTGTTCGAAGGCTTCTTTTGACTGAACGTTAAATATCTCGTAAACTAATGACCATATACGGTTGAAACAAATTTCATTGGCTTAAGAATTCCAAGCTCTATCACTATCACTCATGTCACTCATTCTCAGATTGATTCGTCAACTTATATTTGAAACATGCAATGCACCCTGTTTCTATAATTCTATTCGGAAACAAATAAAATCTGATGATCGAGGGTGAAAGTTTCTCTATCGAAGGTCAATTATTGCGAGTTATTTGCAGCCTGGGTATAAGAAAATGCTAGTAATATCGGAACGCAGGGGATCAAGCGTGAAAGAAGAAAATAATGTTGTAATTGCAGAGGCTGTCTGACGGAACCGGCATCGGAACTGGATCTGGCATGGTCCGGCTACGTGGAGACGGTCGAGAGGCTCGTTGTGGCGGTCGACGGTCGTAACGATCCATAATGCCGAGAAGGCTGTCAGACAATTGGACACCCGCATTTCGGATGCCATTATGCACGCGATGGAGAACGGGCCGGCGCTTGAGGAGAAGGTGAGTACCCATCAAAAGGATTCCAATAGGTTCCTAACATCCCTGCTATACCCCCTAAATCTTTCTTCCGTCTAGCTGGTAGACTTACATCGTTTTTATACAGGGTGTCCCACCTAACTCTGCCACCTTTAATTATTCTCTTATTTGTCACGATACAAAAAAATGGTTCGGGAGAAAGTTAGTGTATTTTAGGGTGGAAATTAGGCTATGATATTGAAGGTCATATCGTTTGAGATTTTTCAAATGGTAACGTTTTTGTTAAATGGAATGTCTTATTTATTTGTTTATCATTACAAAAAGGAGATCAAAAAGTATTCAACAATATGTCACACTATGACTTTGAGCTGAAAATTTTGCACGTAACTGATTGAGATGGAAGCTCACAGAAAATGAATTGCAAAAACAAAATAAACGCGATAATTGCATTATTTATTATTTTAGTGTATGTTCAAAGTATTGCCACCCCATAGTGTGATACATTGTTGGATACGTTTTGATCTCGTCTTTGTAATGACAAACAAAAAAATAAGGCATTCGTTTTAAAAAAACCTTACCATTTGAAAAATCTCAAAAGATATGACCTTGAGATGACCTTCCATCTCATAGCCCAATTTCCACCCTAAAATACACTAACTTTCTCCCGAACTATTTTTTTCTATCGTGACAAATAAGATAATAATTAAGGGTTGCAAAGTTAGGTAGGACACCCTGTATATGGACTGACATTTTACTCATTTCATCGCGCGAATTGGTTTCCAGTTACACCCACATTTATTTTGTGAATTATGTTGATTCACCACCGATATTACAGCATCTTGTAGTATGATTTCCACTACAGTTTGCGTAGGAAAATGTTCCAAAAGTTCATCTTAGAAAATCAATCTGTAAATAGTCAGGCCGAGCTGATTTTGCAAAAACTAGGGTAAGAAAGATATGCACAGAAACTTGTGAGCATGTGAGAGAGGTCATCGATTTTGATCAGCTTTAACGTGTGATTTTTTAACATTAAGATTTTTGTATTTGAATTTTAATATATTTCTTGGCGCAATATACTATCTATTAAAATTGTAATACATACCTATTTATAGTATACAGTATTTTCTTGATAAATGATGGAACTTTGGGGCTGCTTTGTAACGGCTATTGGAATTAGTCAATGAATTCCGGACGTCATAAATTTTGTTTCAAATCTTGACAGCTCACCTTTGTATTTTTTCAACAGTGAGTAAACAAGCTAGAAAGACCGAGCGTCGAGGCAGCCGATAAAGGTTTAAATACCCACATATCGCAAAAACAACTAAAAATACAGGCATGAAACTTTTTTTATTTTTGGTTCTATGTTAATGAAAATTTATTTAACATATTGCGTGAGGTGACTTTCGTTAATTTCGAGAACGCGAGGTTTAAATTTGTCCTTTTAATTTTTTTTATAATCCTTGCGCATAGAATTCTCGGAATCCAGTATGTTTGTCACCTGGGCGAAAATGAGCTGGGTCTAAAGTCCAAACTCTGCGTGGGCAAGGTGCAAACTTAACTTTTTAATTTATCTGCAGCGATAATGACGAAATATGAGTTATTGTTCCTAATAAATTAGAAATGATTTCAATTTATGTCGTGTTTGGCATGATTTTAATTCAAAAAGTTTCACCAGTATGTTGAAAAAATGTTCATTGACACCTTGACTTTCCAGCGACATATGTTGGTTATCCTACAGCACCGCATAGGCAACTCATATAATTATAAAAACCACATAAGGGTGTCTTAGGTTGGGTAGTAAAACTGGGCAGGACGTGATTCTATAAGAAAAAATAAGACAAGACTTTTTCTAAGCATAAAAGTGACATTGTTAAAAAGAAAACGTACAGTGGACACTAACTATTGTATATTACCATGCGTGACACTTCCCCTTCACACGGACTTTCGAGCACACAAATTCTCTCTCCCACCACGTTTTTGCGCTTAGACAAAATACTTTACCAGAACTTAGCATGGGGGGAGGAGACTCTAAATTCATTGACATTTTGCTCCCCTAGAGCCCCGACTATGACAATACAGTCATAGTCTACTGTAGTTAATGTTAAGGGGTCATGCTCAGTTAGGAGACCGAAAAAAGAGTGTTCTTTGGGAATTTTTTTCTCAAAAACTAATAGACCTTTTTCAAAAAATGTGTTTGTGTTTCAAAGATTGCAGTTTCTAGATAATAAGGTAATTTTTTTATTTAGAAATATTTATTAGTAAATAAATGGTGAGCGATCTCCCGGATGTATCTTCACAAAAAGTGGTCTGCCGTGATCACAGTAACTTCGTAACGGTTCATTTGAAATTAAAACTTCAGTAAGATTTATGTAATGGAAGAACCAATCTTGTCCTTGAACGTGGGGTTTTTCGAAATATTGATTAGGAACAGAATGGCGGACATTTTCCAGAAAAAGTGCAATTTTCACCTAAACATCACTCGTCTTTGGTCAATTAAAAAAAAAGTATGGAACGAAAAAAAAATCCTTCGTTCAAGGACAAGTTTTTCTGATTTGAAATAAGGCACAAAAGGTTTCATGTAAATCGACGCAATAGTTTTCGAGAAATATTGATCACCGATTTGAAAAATGTAGTCTCGAGAAAAACGCGTTTAAAGTTTGAAGTCAAGCTTACACTTATATAAAATGTTAATTTTTGAACGCCTGTAACTCTGTTAGTTTTAATCGGATTACCTTGAAACTTGCACAGACTATTCCCGAGATGTTGTACTTAAAGAAAATGTAGAAAGTGAAAAATCGATTTTTTGAAAATTTCTGAATGAGCATGACCCCTTAAAAGAGAACAATCAGAAAATTTTCTAAACGTAGAAGAAGTTGTTCTCATGTACGGTTACTTTATAAGAAGTGATGTACGAATTTTGATATCAGGAGCACCCGGTATATAGAGAAACAGTGACATCCCGAGAAATTTTTCGTCCGGCGTTCCTCCGTGAAATAAACGATGCCGCTTATGGCGACTGTTCCCTGCGATTCCTCGAGCACCGTTCAAGAATTCTTTCGATCGTTTTGATCTTTTTCTCAGTCCCGACTCGCATCGCGTCGTTTACCTGCGGGCTTCTCTGTGTTACATTTTTGTTCTCATTGTTATTGATATTAGCGCCGGCGGCAGCGAGGAAAGCTGGGAACCCAGTGCATTGTACGTATTTCCATAAATTCGCTTTTTTATTTGGGAGGAAAACGAACGGAGCCAATTTGTGGTCAGGATATATCAAATCCCTTGAGGTGGTGACGCGGAGAAATGAATCTACACACTACTATAACTATACTTAACGTTTATTTACAGACTACTCACTAATATATACAAACAAATTCCGGAAAGAATTAATATTGTTAGTTTCCCAACAACAACTACAACTTGCCTTATCGTTAAGGGTAGCGAATGTACAATCGCTTTCTTTTCGGGGGAGGAAAAAACCCATAAAAAACGGTCATTCCACGCGAAATCGGACACTTTTTGGAGTACCATTTCGGATTTTGTTCAAATTTGGATGTGATATAGTCTTTAGCGATACATAAATGCATCTCGAAGGATTTTTGAAAATTTTTTAAATTGTTGTCTTTACAACTGTTTGAAATTTAGGGTTAACCTTTTTTCAATAAATCAGAACTATTGAACTAACAAATTGATCAAAATAAGCTTTGGGCGTACTTACAGTGGACACATAAGAGTACCAAATAAAAATTATTTCAGTTAAAAAAATATATTTATTAACCATTTATTTTGCAATTGTTTTAAATAAATGTCCTGATTTTATACCGGGGAACTATTCAAAAATTTGAAAACAAATGAGAATATAGCCCTATTTGTCCTCTTTATGGACATATCTTCGAAAATATGGACATTTCAAAATTGGCCGTATGAAAATTAATTGAACTGAACGCTGCATCGAATTACACCTGCTCGATCGGCCAAGCCGTCTGGTACTATGTAGGTTGACCGGTACGGCTCAGCCGGTCGAGTCGATGGGTTTCGACGCAGCGTTAACTTCATGTAATTTTCATATGGTCAATTTTCAAGTATCCACATTTTTTAAAATTTGTCAACTCTTCAATTGGGCCCTACTATTATAAAATTGCATTTCTTTTAAACAATGACAAAATAAACGATTAAAAAATATTTTCTTCTAACTGAAATACTTTTGATTAAGTAGTGTTATGTCTTCACTGTAAAATTTCTTGAACCGTTATTAAGATTTTTACCATGGTGCAATTTAGACAATCGTGTATTGTATAAATGCATAAAATTCATAATTCACTAGTAACAAATTATTTTAATAACAATTATTAATTTAACAAAAACTTCTCGAAACGCAATAAATTCCAGACAAACAGAAATAGTAGTTTCGTTCTGGTTTTGCCGAGCGAGTGCCAGGGAACTACATGAATGTGTGTTGTGTAGAGCATATCTTCAGCTGGGTATCCATCGGCCGCACGAAACAATTGCGAACGTTCGCGAACGGGAATTCGCTTTGGTGAAAACGTCAAGCATGCACGATCAGATTCAGTTTTACTTTGTACTATTTTAACAAGTTATGCACTATCACACTCTAGGATAACACATTTTTTTAAATATGCATTAATCTTATTTATAAACCGCATATGCATCAATTTTTAACTTTTTGCAGCTTTTCGATTTCTATGATTATGCATCTTACAGATATTTAACATTCTTATGTCCAACACTGACTTTATTATAAGTTTATCTGCTTACATAACTACTAATATTCAATATGAATTAAACATAATACGAAATGTAGTTGATTATAACTGAAAATATCTAAAAACATTGAAATATTTTATTACAACAATATTATATACACTTCGCTGTCCGTATTGAAATATACGAGTGAAACGCGACACCGTATGTATTCCGTCCTGTGAGAAATACGTTTGAGTGAAGGGCGTTCCTATGCTGCAATAAAATAGCTCGCAATAAACGAGCGCCTACTGTATATACCCTCACGA